TCTATCTAATTCAATGCGGGAGAAAGAAATGAACGAATCACCGAGCTGGTGATTGGGTTCTTTGTGAGGGTTGAGGAAGAAGTGGGGTTTCGGAAATAGAGAGGAGAAGAGAGGGAGCAAAGCTGCGGCAGCAGCAGTAGGGAAAGAAGAGAGGGTTCGGCCGAGGAGGGAGAGAGAGAAAGAGATTAGAAAAGTTAATTAGGTTTAATCTTGCTTAACCTCTGCCCTCGTACACAAATGGTTTATAAAATAGACCACAATTTCCTATAGCTACCCCAACTTATTAATCCCTCCCAATAATTCCGAAATTCCCAAATCAAACCTCCAAACAATAATAATTTAACAAATAAGTTCAGATGCAGAAAGAGCATAATCGCGGTTTCTATCACAAAACTAAACCCAAAAATATTGCAACACGTGGAATCCCATTGTGTCCCATGGGATGTTGATCATTTAGAGATTTGTATTTCCCTCCGCCTCTCTACATATGAAAAACAGGGAGATTTGAGAATCCGGCCGGCCTCATAAACAGAGCAAGACCGACCCCCGGCGGTTTGGCCCTCTGCCGTCCTTTTTTGGCAAATTTGCAAAAACGACTAAATATATACGACTCTAGAGTGTTCGCAACGGGAAGAAACACACAAGTGAAAACGAAAAAAGGGAATTGAAAAGTGAGCGAGGGAATTATTCGTTGTTGGATCACAAATCGTAGGTTAGGTGGAAGGCCGAGGAGCATGTTTTGTTTTGTCAAATGCCTAAATAATAATAGTGGCCGGCCGGCCGGTGGACTGACCCGAAAGTTAGCTATCTTTTCCCAGTTGCTTCACCCCCACTTTCTTTTCCCAGTTGGTGGTGGAGTTTGTTGTATATATATTTTGCGTCTCTTGAAAGCAAGAATTAATCATTTGATACAGTAAAAAACCAAAGTAGCTACCTAGCTAATTAAGGGTACTGATGAATTTCAGTTCGTGGCACAAGACAAGCAAAGCTAGGCAATCTCGTCTACAACACGCATCCACATCTAATTGCGCAATTAGTCGTTAGGTGGATAGTCAAGTTAGTTAAATTTTGGTCCAGAATATGTGCATATGTTAGACATGTATTTGTTCGTAGTTAGATCTGGTTAGAGTTGGCAATTTCAATCCAATCACCAATTCAATCCATCAATCCATTAAAAATATCCAATTAATTCAATCCATTTATATCCAATCCATTTGATCCAAAATTCAATTGGATTGGTGGATTCACGGATTGGATTCGTGGATCATTGGCAAATTATAATTTATTACCTATAATTTTTATTTTTTTTACATTTTGGTACCTAAAATTTAATTTTTCATACGAAAAATATCGTTGGAAAATTATATTTTGGTACCTAAAATTTTCTTTATGGCATTTTAGTACCTAAACTTTTCACATTTTACATATTGGTCCTTAGTTGAGGATGTCCACCAATCCAATTGATCCAATCCATTTGATCCATGATCCATGATCCACCAATCCAATCCACGAATCCATTTGCCACCTTTAGATCTGGTTATTTGGTTTAGAATAAGGCCAGATGTAAAGGGGCGAGATTAAAGAGCTTTATATTTTTCTAGTTATTTTTAATCGATTTGTATTTTATTCATTTTAATTTGGATTTTAAAATTTTTTGCACACAATATATGGGTTTATTGTGATATACAAAATTATATTCATTTACGGTACATTTTGAGTAAATTTTTTTTCATACCACTCATCACCATCCTGGTACCACCTTCGTTTTTAACTGCAATCGTGAAATTTTTTGCAATGAAGGAATAGATTTGTCATTTGTCGTGATCTACAAATTATAAAAAATAAATTATGGAAACAAATATACTTCCTTATACATTACACCACCCTGTTATAAGATGATAAATAGTAGTAGAAAGGTTGTGAAATGTGGTAAAATTATTATTAATGAATTTCTACCTTCATTTTTTGTCATAAATTATTTGGTCCCGATAACTCGAGTTGTTGGGAGAAGGTTATGCTGGATCTTATATCACTCTCTAACATGCCCTCTCAAACGAAAAACAACTCACGGGCTTGAAGTTTGCACAGGACCCTCATACTTTGTGCTTTAATCAACTGTTAATATTTGGTGGGGGGGATTCGAACACACGACCACTTTGGCCAAACTGTTAGTAGATCAGAATACAGTAGAAACTATTATGTATTATTACTGAAACCGCATAGGGTTTATATAGAGTACAGAGACTGACTTCTATAATAACCCTAACACTAATACGACTTTGATAAGGAATGTAACCCTGACCAATTATATAACAGTACTCGTAGTATAACACAACACTACTCGTACTACACATACTCTAATACAAACTAACTCTGATACCATATCATAAACCAGTTAGTCTCAATAACTCGAGTTGTTAAAAAAAAGTTATACGAAATTTTATATCACTCTCTAACATTTTCCCATTCCTCTTTAATTACTTATGAAATATGAATATTCATGTCGGGTTGTTTGCTTGATTTGATGGTTGCACACTTGCACTTTCAGGTCGTTGGGCTTTTTGGTGGAAAGGGGGAAAGATAGCAAGTTCTCGGAAAAGAAAACGTCGGTCGAGTGGAATGGAAGAAATTGTATTTGTCTAGCCAGGAATAATCGTCGGCCAGCCAGCCAACCAGCCTCTTCGTTTCGTCAATTTCTAAGTCATCGCACATTGGCCCCACATGTTACCCACTTGACACGTGCAGCGCTGTGATCTTATCTCCCTTGCTAATTCCCATCACCATCCAACGGTTCAAAACAAATCACCCCTTAACGAATTCTCCAGTTTGCTAGTCTTTTTGCCCTTCCGTTGTTAGGGTAGTAAATTTTAGAGAATGAACTATATTAATTTGTCATTTTCACTTATCGAATTGACAAATAATTATCTGTTTGGAGGATATTTGAGATGAAGAAATTGCGGCTTAGAAAATTGTAATTTCCTTCAATTTAAACTTACACTTCTATCCATCCAAACGATAAATCATTTGCACAGTTAAACGTCGCCTTAGTTTATTACGATCCCTCTAATTTAAAAGTGTAAATTACTAGACTATCCTTCTTTAAATATAAAAAAAATATAACAAACATACGCACTAACAATTTTCTCTCCTACTTCAAACCCGAAGTCCTCTTCTCCTTTTTTGCTCCGTCATCGTTCATGTCTCTCCGCCACCATCACTATAAACTCGGTACTGCTAGTGATAGCTGGTGGCGGCAGTGACAAAAGGATGCTCCTTTTTGTGTTATTTTTTGTATTTGTATTTTTCTAAAAATAATGTAATAATAAATGAGAGTAAATAGCTAATCTTATGTATTAAGTTAGTTCGATTTAAGTATAATTAGAGCCTTATTAAGCAATTTCCTAAATCATGCACTTGAATGGGTTTAAACGCAACTCCATTTGCTAGACAAACCGTTAGTTTTAGTGGGCAGAGCAGCATCTATAAAAAAAGAATCTGGCTGCCTTTTGGGCTCTTTGTCGTTTGCTGATTAATTAACCAAAAAGGCGAAATTCCATTTTCCAATAATTAGACCACAGAATAGCAACATCAGTGGCAATTACGTCAATTTATAATCCACGACCCCATTTGACCATTTTACCCCTCCCTCTGAATTATTGTTCACAAAATGGCACATACATTTCTTTCATGTGGTACCAATTTCCATCAATAGACTGCCCAACAAACGCCAATGAGCTCGGCTCTAGATGGATGCTTTGGATTTTTGCAGATGCTAATGTTGTGTACCTAAATATCTGAATACTTATTTAGCCGCTAGAGAGCAAGTAATTAGTAATACTTTCCACATTTTAACTCTCAGTTAAATATAAGGATGAAATTATAGTTGATCCAAGATTAAATTATAGTTGTCGATTTAGTTGGTGTGATATGACCGGAATAGGAAAACGAGAGATTAGGTAAAACAGTGTTTGACTGACCGGTCCAAAAATCTTCAATCTTTTTTCTGAGATTCGTAACAGATTGTCAGCCAAACAAAAAACAAGAAAATTATCATGTCATCTCTTTGGACTGCCTTCTTAATCCGTATGTTTTTTTTCTTTTTGCCATTAGATGAAATAAATATGGAAGGCCAGATGAAATTTTGTAGGAGTTTGTAATATGAGTTATTTTACCACTTAATAATCTACAAATATATATAAAAAAAGAAATACATAATCGGGCTTGATGATGAGAATGACTTGTCTTTCACACAATGGTTTCCGGAAAAAGTGATTTTGATTTGTTCAAGCATGCATGATTGTGTGATCCAATATCCCTCCGCACTTTCTTACCTCCCACTTTCCAACTTCCAAAAAGCAGCTTCTACCACTCACTCGCCTAATCACAAAATGAGCTGAAAGTGTTCCAACTTTGAGAGGTAAATTACGACAAAATTTACTGCTATACATTGTAGATAACTGACACAGTAAGAAATTACACAGACAACTAGCAGTAGAACAGATTTAAAAAATTGTTAGGATTTAATAATCTTACAACTTAAATGCTTTCCTCAAAATATATTAATCTAGAGATTAATTAATCAAAAAAATAACATCATCTCAACCAGTACAAAATCAAATCTTACAATTATTAACGTAGTCAATAATCAGCACATGCTTATGATTTTGCACTAATCTTTAAACACATTATTATCTGTTGGATCAAACATTCTTAACACTAACACCATAACCAACAATATTTACAACATCAATTTCACCACACACCCGCAATTCAATCCAAATAGTAATATTATCGGCTTGGTAGTTAAATTATAAATTTCACAGAAATCACACACAAACAACGCGTTTCTTTCACACGTCACCGTCTCCACTCCCAAACACAAAAAGGCCTCTCCTCCTCCTCCCTTTTCTCCTATCTCATCTCTCTCCCTTCACAACACACAATTCAGCTCACTCTTTTCCCTTCCAAATTCTCTCTTCCTCCACCGTGCGCGCACCACGATGTCGTCGAAGGACTGCGGCGGGCACGGCCACAAGCGCCGGAAGATCTTCCGCCGGATCTTCGCCGGGATCCTGGTCTTCCTCTTCATCGTCCTGGTCACAATCCTCATAATCTGGGCCGTGCTCCGGCCCAGCAAGCCCAGCTTCATCCTCCAGGACGCCACCGTCTACGCCTTCAACGCCACCACCCCCAATTTCCTCACCTCCAACCTCCAGGTCACCTTCTCCACCCGCAACCCAAACGACAAGATCGGCGTCTACTACGACCGCCTCGACGTCTACGCCGAGTACCGGACCCAGCAGATCACCCTCCGCACCCAGATCCAGCCCTTCTACCAGGGCCACAAGGAGGTCAACGTCTGGTCACCCTTCGTCTACGGCACCGCCGTCCCCGTCGCCCCCTACAACGCCGTCTCCCTCGGCCAGGACCAGTCCGCCGGCGCCGTCCAGCTCATGATCAAGATGGACGGCCGCGTCAGGTTCAAGGTCGGCGCCTTCATCTCCGGGAGGTACCACCTGTACGCCCGCTGCGAGGCCTACATCCAGTTCGGCAACCGGAACGCCGGCGTGCTTGTCGGCAATAACGCCGTTAAGTACACGCTGGCGGAGCGATGCAGCGTCAGCGTCTAGAACATTCTCTCATGGGATGGATGGAATTATGAGGTCATGATAACAACGCCGTTAAGTAATTTTTCTGTTAAACATATATATTTTGTTTATCGCTATAAATTTTGGTTTTCTTACTTGGGGAGTCGGTTATGTGGTGGGAACTGAACATGGAGATGGTTGGCAATTTGTCGTCTGGGGGTATACGTGGCGTGTTACTACAGGCTCCTTGACATTTAATTGTAAATTTCAGCTGTTCGGTGCAAATTAAATAATAATGATGATAATTTAGCAAGGAGATTATTGTTTTTTTATGGTTAGCAAGGAGATTATTGCAAGTGGAGTGTGTTCAATTTTTTGGTGCTAATTAAGTAATTATCTTATTATCATATTCTTCTTTTCCCTGCCGTTTTGTTTGTTTGAGGGTGGGAAGATGAACTGAATTTGGGTGTCGTTTGGTGTGGGAGCGGATAGGCAAATTGGCCAAACGGGTGGTGTGGTGTCCAGTCTGGAAGTTGCGACGTCGTTTTCTCTCTCTCGCAGTCGCAGATAACAATCAATTCCCCATCTTTTAATCGCTTTGGTTTCTTCTGCCTTTGTGGCCCCGTTTTGATTTTCCTCCCCATATTTCCGTTCCGTTCCTTTTGTTTTGTATTTCATGGATTACGTAAAAGAATTAAAGAGTATGTTTATAATTATTCTTTCACAGTAAAAATATTCTAATGAGTAATGAATGATTTTTCTTAGAATACCATTATTTTTTTGAATTGGGAGATTTCATACATCTAATTATATAATAATCAATCTATGTCACTCTTATAAAAGAAACCGAAACTATTAAAAAGTGAGTGAAATTTTGACTGATCCGAATCAGGATCGGAAGATCCTTGGGTAAAAGGATCGGAAGATCCTTGGGTAAAAGGATCGACGAAACAGAAGTAAGAAGAATGTGTCAGTACTGTATAGTTGGAAAAGGGAATTCTAGGATGAAGCTAGAATTGGAGAATTTTGCCATGGATGATCTCGAATTTCCGGTACAGCTACCTCTCCAAACGTAAACCCATCGTACCTAACGTGCAGATACAGTCCCAACCCGAAAAGGGTCCTCTCCTGAAATAACAATCCCGCCCTTCACATTTTGTCCCACCACATGAACATTGGATGTAAAAATTCGGTGTCCTTTCGAAGAATTAATGACTTGTGAACCAATAAAGGCTGCTAGCTAGTCAAAGGTTTCACCTATGAACATGGCGGATTCTCTATTCAGGATAGGGTAGAGCACTGGGCCACATTTGAAAAGAGGAAGAGAGGATTGGGCCATAACCCGACGAGTACCGAAACTAACACAAAAAATCGGAAATTTACATGGGCTACCCCTGAATCCGCCGCTGCCTCTGAACTAGTTCTCATGTTATATTTCATGTGGAGTTCTGAATTTCAATTACCCTAATGAAGGGGGAAATGGACCGAAAAGGTGAATGGGTAAATTATTATCGATAATTTTTTTATAAAAAATTCGTGTTTATCACTAAAAATATTTTATTTCATTCGTGGTCACAAAAAATTAATTAAACAATCCAAATTTGATTATTGGTCCATCCGTCTCCATTAATGGTGTCATTTGAAGTGTTTAATGAGCCAGTTCTAATCCGAAAAAATTTAAACTCGATTTGCCACATCGTTAAAACGCAAAATGTGGAAGTGATGGAGAGTGGAGTGTGGGGCGGGGCAAGTTGGGGAGTAGGATTTGGATTGGAGCAAGCAACTCTCACATGGATGATATTAGGGTGGAGGTGTCATCCTCTCTTCTTCTTCTTCTTCCCCTACCTACTATTACTACTAATAATAATGGCGTGAATTGAAAGTGACGTCTTAATCAAACTTCCCCTCATTTTTTTCTCTCGGATTATTATCAAATAACATATGGCCTTCCCTTTTCTACTTATATTATCATATCATCATCCGCCATAGCCCATAGCCACTCACTTCCTTTTTGGCTTTCTCCTCCTCCTCCTTCTCCTTCCTTCCTTCTTCCTCAATAATTGTTCACTACTTGCTCTTTCTCCAACCAACACATGGTTTCAACTTAAGCTTTAATTTGTTTTTTACTCAATCGACTATTTATATTCCCATTGAATCATGCATCTCATAACAATCAAGTCGATATAGTTTTGTCACGATATTATAATGATTTTATTACTATGATTAGTTTTACCGATTTGATTTCTTATACGATTTCGCAATTCGTATAATAGGGGAATTGGAGGGAATTATGGAGTTTGTGGATGTCGATCATGCATATATGATAGGGAGAGGGCGGATAGCCGTAAATGCATGCCACATTTCCGATCCGCCCATGTGGCTTGGGGGAATATTGGCATTTGATTGGTTTTTCCCCCCCTTTCCGCCGGTCTCAATTTGATAATTGTTAGCCGCCTAAATTGTAGGTTTCTTATATGTTGAGTTTAGTAATTAGTATAGGAGGTCGATTCCGTGGATCCTTTCCCATCTCCAGGTTTCCGGCAAATTATTCTTCGACAATAATTAACGATTTATTATTTTACTTATATTTCCAATGAAATATTCTTCTGTGGATTTCATAAGATAAAATGCAATGAATGGGAATTTTTGTGTATAGGTCGGTCGGTCAAACAAGTGTTCAATAATAGCAGTTAAATCATAAATGTTGTAAGTTAGCAATTTAACTAAAATTCTGAATTATGTGATGAAATTAAAATATGAGTCAGAAACCTTGGACCATTTGTTCCTTTATTGTCCGGTGGCTTGGGCACTCTGGGACTATTCGGAGCTGGCATCCTTGGGTGAAGGGCTGCCTCGGCAAACCTTCCCCCTGTTCCTCAAGCGGTTAATGTCTCTGATTAATCAGCCAGCCGTTCTCATGGCGGTTGTTGCTGTCCTCTGGCGAATATGGCGTTCTCGTAACTGGGTAGTCTTTGAAGGCAAGCAGTTTGGGATCCCTGCTCTGATGCGTCAGTACAATCAGCAGGTTGAGGAATGGGTGGGGCTGCCTGTGGATCGGAATTCTCGCTCCTCTGTCCTTCCCCCATCTCAACCTGTTTTTGTAGAGGCTGACAGGCTGGGTTGTATGTGGGATGGGGCTACAAGGAGAGGGTCCCCTCAGCAGGGGGGATTGTTCTTATGACCCCGGCGAGAGAGGTCCTAATGGCTGGTGGGGTTCAGTTCCCGGGCATTCATGATCCCTTGGTAGTTGAGGTGCTGGTGCTTCGAGAGGTTGTCATCTGGTGCCTGAATCGGGGTTTCATGGAGGTGTGTTTCGAGGGGGATGCTAAGGTCATTATTGACAAAATCAACCATGCGGATGCTAGTGATAGTCGGATTGGTGCTATTCTTGCTGAAATTGTTCATCACTTGGCGGTTCGCTCAGGGTTTAGTGTTAGATTTGTAGGTCAGCGTAGCAATAGGGTAGCCCATCTGGTGGCTCGTAAAGCCCTCTCTTTGTACCCGACTACGAGTCATTTTTTTTTTATTTTCAGGCCTGGCTGCTTTCCAGGATGTAACTACCTTTTGTTTCGATCAATGAAGATTATCTTTTGTAAAAAAAAAGTGATGAAATTATTATATGATTTGGTATAATTATACTTTTTATTAAAACAACATCTGTCAGATTTTTTTTAGAGAACTGTGTTTTTTTAAAGAAAGGTTGTTATTTAATTAATAAACTATTGATAGTGCTTCTGAGAAGTCCTTCATAAGGGTGTTCAAATGGTTATCATCATAATTACCAAACCAAATAAGTCTAAATTTTATTAACAATGGAATACAATATCATAACCAAACCGTCCAAACTAATACAAAACCAAATTAACCAAACTAAAGTTTATTCGGTTTGGTTAAATGGTTAACCAAAATAACCAATATATCATTACATTATCATTAAGTAAGAAAAATTTCTGGTTAGTGCATCAATTCACAATTTATATAATGAACAACACATACAGGGATCAGAAGAGCTTGCAATGTTTCGGCTTAGTTGGTTTTTGTCCCAATTTGTTGATTTAAGGTTGGAAGAATCAAGCGAGTCCCCAGACATCACAAGGGAAGAAACTCTTCATGAGGTGTTACTTAGAAGGAAAAAGACTACTTCTCTATCCCCTCAAGAAAGAGCTCTTCGCCAACTAGGAATCGAGAGGACTGATGTCACTACACTTGTGTCAGCAGGTCGTCCACGCAGAAATGGGTATGCTCCTCTTCGTCTTACTTATGATCCTTAAGTTGGTGTCTTGGAATGTTAGAGGTTTAAGGGATCCGGGGAAGCAATATTCCATTAGAGATTTTCTTGGTCCTATTCGACCTTCGATTTTTTGCTTCCAAGAAACAAAACTTAAAAGTTGCACGGATTCTATTGTTGGGGTACTTGGTGGTCGGTATAGAATGGGTTGGGTGGACAAACCATCGAGAGGTCTCTCAGGTGGTCTTTTGGTGGCTTGGGATAAGTTGGTGTTTAATATGGAATGTCATTGGGTGGGCAGGTTTTGTTTAGTGACAGTGTTTACATGTCGAGATAATGGTTTTAAGTGGGTTTTGATTAATGTTTATGGACCGAATGATAGTAGTGAACGCCCGATTTTCTTTGATGAATTGACGTCATGCCTATCTTGGTGGTCTTTTCCTGCTTGTGTAGTGGGAGACTTTAATGTGGTTCGGTCTCAAGATGATTTTGTTGGAGGGCCAAGAAATCTGGCAGATATGGAAAGGTTTAATGACTTCATTGGAGAGCACGCCCTTTTGGATCTCCCCATGCTCGGATATCAGTTCACTTGGTCAAATCAACAATCAAACCCTTCATTATCTCGCTTGGATAGGGTGTTGGTCTCTTCTTATTGGGAGAGTGAGTTCCCTCAATGTTGTTTGAAATCGTTTGTTAGAGTGGGTTCAGATCATTTTGCTCTTCTGTTGTCTTGCGGAGAAGAGCGAGTTATTCATCGACCATGGAGGTTTGAGTTTATGTGGGCTGACCATGATGATTTTGAGGTTCAGTTAGG